AGAATAATGTGTATGCAACTTCGATTAAAAGTAACAAAATTGAAAATGGTGACAGGACACCGTGTTTCATCTGAACCCAGAGGTGCAGTTCAAGCAACTTCAGCATCATCTTCATTAGTTAGCAGTCCATACTTCTGTCGAATTGCATCAGTTTTGATTCTCCTTTCTGCCCTTCTTTCTGCATTTCGCTGCTGGGCCTCTTCACGTCTTCTCTGCATCTTCTTGTCTTCCCGTTCGTAGGGTACCTGCCTGCGGTTTCGGCAGCAGAGACAGTACACACAACATCCAATAATCACAAGGACAACAAATGCCACACTTGGAATTATATAAATCAAAAGGTGGCCTGTGGGAATAAAATATTAAGAAAAGTATGAGCAGCATGTATGATTAAAGCTTTAAGCCCCAGCCAAATGATAACAACATTTCAATGCAACATAGCGCAACATTGCTGGGTGCAACATGTTGCACGCATTTGGCCACCTTGTTGCAATATGTTGGGTGTTGTTGGCTCAAGTTTAAAAATGGTTAAATTTGAGCCAACAACACCCAACATGTCACAACATGCTGCAACATGGTGGCCAAATGTATGCAACATGTTGTGCCCAACAATGTTATGATATGCTGCATTGAAAGATCTTGAAATGTTGGGATTGTTTGGCCAGGACTTCAATTTACATACTTGGAGAAACTTTATTGTTTTTAGCAACCATACAAATGTGAGCATTACTGAAATCATAACTGCTGTCAGACTTCAATAACAGACACTTTGATCACAAAATTCTCAAAATAAAGCACAGAAACAATAAACCCTCATTTTGGAAATATTTTTTGGAATCACATCACGGCAGCCTTGCTCTAAGTGATTTTGGTTTTCTTTACCACATGTTTATTGTTAATTTATTTACATGAGGCAATGATTCCTCAATTTCACCCTTTTTTATTTTTTTTTTAAATTTATTTCACAGCAAATTTTGGTTACGTTTGAAATTACTTTCATTTTTAAAATCATTTGTTTTTATTTTGTTTCTTGGGATATTTTCTTCGATTTAAATTTATTTCTTGATTTATACTGCTACGATCATCAACGAAGAAACCTACAAGAGAATTATTGCAGGGAATCTGGTGAAGAACCGAAAGCAATTGGAAACTGCTAAAGTGAAGCTCCGAACGTACACAGGTGAATTAGTCAAGGTCATAGGAACTTTCAATGTTATTGTGAAGTATGAGAAACAAGAAGTGGAACTGCAAACACTCGTGGTGGAGGGATCTGGCCCTAACTTACTGGGAAGGGACTGGTTGAGAGTTCTCACACTCAACTGGAAGGAGTTGTTCAAAATGCAAGTGGTCAAAAACAACTAAGGGTCTTCACTTGAAAAATTGGTTGACCGGTACTCAGGAGTGTTTAGAGAAGGACTTGGGACCTTCAAGGGCCCAAAGGCAAAAATTCATGTGGAATCAGAGGCACAACCAAAATTCTTGAAGGCGAGACCAGTGCCATATGCT